AACTACTGTACATTTGAAAACCCACCAGTGATTTATTAAATATCAGAGGTGAAGAAGGTTTACTGCGGGTCTGTTGTCATTGATGTGACTCTTTCACTTTGATAGTGAAGTGCACTTGAAAGGCCACACCAATTTGATTTGTTGTTTCTCAGATTTTTTTCTGAAAAAATTTGAAGAGACAGGGTGAAAATTAAAAAAAGAAACAGGCCAAGGCACCCCATGAAGGCTGGAAATGTTACGATATGAGCCATGAAGCCAACATACCAGGCTGGTTTACAATCAGAACAATAGATTTTGAACTTTTAATGAAATGATGTTGCATTGTTACATTGAAAAACTTAAGAACTAGGAAGAAAAGGACTTTCTTCAACTGTTGGGGCCAAAATATGTCTTTCATTAAGCATTTTGCAGTTGATTCAGAACCTAAAATCTTTTTTTTTGCAAATCAGAAAAAATGGACGGGTGAATCCGAGAAACAACAAATTAAATTGGTGTGGCCTCAGCTTGAATGTAGAGTTTATAAGCTTTGTTCCAACACAAGAAGGGAACTCACCATAAATTCTTGTGTTCAAACAAAGCTTGAACTCTATAACTATGGATTCTACCAACACAGATGAGCTTCAGTCGAAGCGCACAAGTCTACAAGTCTTGTAGTTTGACTCTTCTTTTGTAATTTGTACCAGATTAAGAGTTACTAGAATGTCAACATCTTATCCTTTGTCATTGAAGGACATTCATTAAGTAACCCTTCCAACTACTGGATCTGGTATTCTGATTTTTTAAATTAGCACACGCGGTGCACGCGAAACGCTTTCGAGTTTCTTCTATGGAACTTCAGGAATCTGGTCTGAAAGATATTTCAGCGTTGCAGTATTTGACGTTTTTGGTGACTAAAGACTGTGACTTTTCATCCTTCGTTGTTGAAAAGACTAAGAGTTCCATTGCTTCTAAAAGGAATTCTATTGGCAGGGATCCTGATTGGAGTTTCTGTTCACAAAGAGTCCGATTGGGATCTTTTAGTAGTACAATGTACCAGTAGAATCTGTACCCTGACATAATGACATACATTATAGGCCACACCAATTTAATTTGTTGGTTCTAGGATTCGCCTCTTCAATTTTTTCTGATTTGCAAAAAAAAAAAAGATTACTGGTTCTGAATCAACTCAAATATGCTCATATTTTGCCCCCTACAGTTGGGGAAAGTCCTTTTTTCCTAGTTTTTACAGTTTTTTTGCATCTATCAATGCAGTGGTTTGATTAAAAGTTCAAAATTCATTGTTTAAATATTAACCCAGCCTTTTGTGTTGACTTCATGGCTCCTGTTGTAGCATATGGGGCTATCATAGGATGCCTAAACCTGTTTTTATTTTTATTTTTTCGCCCTGTCGCTTTATATCTTTTCTGAAAAAATCCGAGAACCAACAAATTAAATTGTTGTGGCCTAATGACATACATAATGAGACAATCACACACTCCATGACACAGACTTGTTAAAAAGCTGCAGAGCACTTTAATCCTTTCTCAAACTGTCACTGCAATGTTTGGGCCATGCTCAAATCTGTGACCGCCATTCGGCAATTGTTCTTCAACGTAGAGTCCTGTGCAGACTTCTAGCGGGGCAGTTTTTTGTTTCTACGAGCTGCTAGAACGGCGGTTTCTTTTCAGGGAAGGGCCTTGTTTGGGGGAAGCTGTATTGCCTGTGCTGAAAAACAAAACTCCCTCTGCCGCATTAGAGAACCTTAGCCCATGTAAAAAAATCATGTATCAGCGCCCCCCCCCCCCCCAAAAAAAATAAAGACGGCCACACGAAGAAGTCTGCAAAGGAGGCTACCTCGACTAGGGTGTGTACCAAAACCCAGTCTCCACCAGACCTCTTTGCAGGCTGAATAAGTAGTGGAAATTGGCCTAAAAATAATGTAGCTGGCCAGGGGAGTTGGCCGGCCATAGAGGGTCCAGGTTATGCAGGCAAACTGCTCTGAAAAGGAGTCTGGTGGAGACTAACCAAACTAACCAAAACCATTCCCACCTGGACTTTGAGTAGACAGTTAACAACATTGACAGTCAAAAAATTCTCATATAAACAGGTGCAACAAGGTTCGACACATCATTGTAACAAGTTACATGTACCATGATCTACCATGTTGCAAAGCTAGACATTGCTACAAGCCTTCAAAACTCAAATATAGCTGTTTACACACCGAAAAACTTCAAAATACATTCATTTCGCACTGCCTAATCAATTTTCCACACTTTCCACTGTAAGCTACTGTAGCTACCTAGTGTGATTGAGGTTACTTAAGTTGTTGCATTAATATCGATTGATTGATTGATTGATTAATTGATTGATCTCAATTTGCTATTGGCAATGATAACTAACATTCGTGTAAGTCAAATAAAAGAAACACCGGTACTTATCTATAAATTTAGCTCACTGCAAAGGGCAAAGGTTTTTCTCATTCCGTGTGCCCCTGTTCCTGATTATCATCATCACTGGAACTTCTAAAGGTACAAATTCTATTCTCCAAAGTACACTCTCAGCTATTTTAAGCAGTTCTCATATTAAACTCTCCTCTATGTTAGACTACGACCAGCCTGATATCAGCATTTTCAAGATAAAGCCATGATTGCAGGGAAAATCAGTCTACCCTAGTCTGCTCCCTGGCTTGTTTTTTGTAGTCATCCAATAGTAAGGAAATAACAAAATGTTACAAAGCTTAGAAATGCCAACATACAGTAGCTCTACTTCATTATCATGTTCAAAAGGAAAGGCAACAGACTGCCTTGGAAAAAAAAGGAAACAAGAAAAAATTGCCTATTGTTATTGTGAAAGGAGCATCATGGTGGTGAACGTTTTATGAAAGCGGTAAAGTCACACTGGTAGGATTGAAGACAAATAGCTGTCTGCAAATCAGGTATTTATAGCCATTGCAGGCTAAATTTTATAGCCTCTACCAGGCTTCGGGAGGTGGCTGGAAAGAGTCTAGAAATTGGCCAAATAGAGAGATAACATGCCAGGGGAGTTGGTCTGCTGGGGAGCGGTAAACTGTTCTCTCCAGCGGACCAACTCCCTTGGCACGTTTATCTCTGTATTTGGCCAATTTCTACTCTTGCCAGCCACCTCCCGAAGCCTGGTAGAGGCTAGAATTTTACAGAGTTCAGAGTGATGAACTAGATTTTGTCTCCTGGAGGAGGCTGTGAGATGAGGAAGGACACATGAAGGTCACGGACTAGGCAGTCTGGTCTGGATCGGGTTTCTTCGCGACCTCGGCGTGACCTTCACCCTGGGTCTCGACCTTGACCTCCTCTGGGTCGGCCTCCTTCTTCTCCTCCTGTTGAAAATTTAAAAAAGAAACACTTTTATTGCGCAAAACTGATTTCATGCTTTCTTATCTAGGAAATAAGCAACACAAATTATTATTTTGTTGGTGCAGGAAATTTATACAGGACAGACATTTTTAGACAGTGCTGGTACATGTTCCTTTTGAAGTATCTGCAAGTCACAAGTACATTACTAGCACTCCAAAAGTTACCATGGTGTTTTACAACATGGAGGTTGAAATGTTCCAAAACTAATATGTGGTCAAAGTGAACAAGGGATATAGTCATACTTAGTGGTGCATACCTAAACCCACATTTAGGTTCAGGTTTGGATTCAAGTCCAGAGGTTTAGGTTCAGTTCCGGACTTGTAAGTCCGGACCTAAACCCATGGCATATACAAAATTGCATGCTGCCACCTTGCAATGTTGTCTGGGTGAAATTTTAACAAGGAGGCCGGTACTTGACAATGCCTGATGGCAATATTTTCTTCATTTTGTACCAAAGATTTTGCAATCTATGGAAGGTTTTAGGTGGTTTGAAAAGAAAAGGGGTATATATGAAATGGTCTTTTATGGTAATAAGTCCGGACTCGGTTCTTGACTTTTAGGTTTTTTTGGACTTGAACCTAAACATTCTTACAAGTCCGGATCCAAGTCCAGTGAACCGGTCATACAGGTTGGACAGACGCATAAACTAAGTTCAAATCACAATGTGTAGCGTTTCTGTCCTCACCATTAGGTTCAGCTTTTCTTCATCCTTCTCCTCCTCCGGCTCTGTTGACACCACAGCGGCCGGCTCCTCTGGGCTGCACGGAGCACAAAACAGGCATTTTTTTTCCAGATTATGGTCTCATTTATGAGTTTTTTCCATACATTAGAAACCATGCATTAATGAGTGACTCACGAGACCGTGTTCCCTATGATCCTACATTAAATCAATTGATATCTTTCATGCTATGTTGAGCACACGTACTCTACATCTCATAAAAAAATTGCCAACGACTTCTATACACACAATCCCCTTTTATGGGAAATACAAACTGCACCTAGCGGCTGCCCGCAAGAGGCCCTCCCGCGCTGCAAACATACGACCGCATAACTCACAACACTGGACTGTGCACGTCCAACCTAGCGCGCGGCTGCCGACAATTACGTCCTAATTTCATCAGTTACAAACAAGCTTTCACCGCTTTGACGTTTTACATCAGTTGGGATGGCTAAAGGGGAAATTCTCACCAATAAAAACATGCGTTCATACAGCCGTTTAGTTTTTGACTTGGCACTCTTTTAGGGGGTACACTCGGAGTAATACATGAATGAGACCTTATCATGAAAGTTCATCTGTGTTGGTAGTAATAATAGTAAAACATTGAACTTTATTCCAACACAAGGGTTACAAAGCGATTAAATTTTCGACGACTACTGTTGCCTTCATCAGGATAATTAATGACCAATCACTTAACAACGTGATCTCGCGAGAGTTACGGTATCAGTAAAATGTCGTGTGAATAAGGTCACATGTTTGTAAACCGTAACTCTCGCGAGATCACGTTGTGAAGTGATTGGTCATTA